TAGAGTGTCTGGCCATGTTGTGTCATCTTGTTGTGGCCTGTCGTGGAGGTAACGGCAGATTACGTTACCTCCGCGACAGATCACAGCAAGAAGACACAACATGGCCAGACACACTAGTCACCCTACTGTACATCAGAGACATACCAGAGGAGCTGGGTGACTCTGCTGAAGTCCAAAATGGGTGTCGCTGAACAGCTTATTGCTGAGTTAGTGCTGCTTGATAACATTATTGATGACACCTCTCATCACTTCACTGATGATCGATAGTAGACTGATGGGGCATTAATTGGCCAGGTTGGATTTGTCCTGCTTATTTACAGGACGTACCTGGACAATTTTCCACACCTGTTGGGTAGATGCCAGTGTTGTAACTGCATTGGAAGACCTTGGCTAGAGGAGCGGCATGTTCTGGAGCACAAGTCTTCGGTACTCTTGCCAGAATGGTGTCAAGACCCGTAGACTTTGCAGCAAACAGTACCTCCAACCATTTCTTTATATCACATGGAGTGACTCAAATTGGCTGAAGACTGGTATCTGTAATGCTGGGGACCACTGGAGAAGGGCTGAGATGGATCGTCCACTCAGCACTTCTGGCTGAAGATTGATACAAATGCTTCAGCCTTATCTTTTGCACCGAAGTGCTGGGTTCTTCCATCATTGAGGATGGGAATGTTTGTGGGGCAGCCTCTCAGGTGAGTTGTTAAATTGTCCACTACTGATCTCGGCTGGATGTGGCAGGACTACAGAGGTTAAATCTGATCCGATGTTCGTATGACTTGTTTAGCTCTGTATATCTGTTGCTACTTATTCCGTCTGGTAGCTTCATCAGGTTGACACCTCATTTTTAGGCATGTCTGTTGCTGCTCCTGCCATCCTCTCCTGCACTCTCTATTGAACCAGGGTTGATCCCCTGGCTTGATGGTAATGGTTGAGTAGGGGATATGAGCCCACAGCACCTCGGGGGATGCCCAATTTTGCATTGCTAGATCTGTCCAAAGTCTGTTCTGTTTAGCGCAGTGTAGTGTCTCACAACACAAAGGTATTCTGAATGTGAAGGCAGGACTTTTGTCTCAAAAAGGTCTGTGCGGTGGTCACTCTTAGCAGTACTGTCTCTCTTAGGGATACAGCCCTCTCAATTTTGGCACAAGTCCCCAGGTGTTAATAAGGAAGACTTAGTCATACAGTCATAGAGTAATTCAGCATGAAAACAGGCCCTTCAGCCCAAACTGGTCCATGTTGATCATGGTGCCCACTCGCCTAGTTCCAACTACTTGCATTTGGTCCATATCCCTCTAAATGCTTCCCATCCCAAATGTTTTTTAAATGTTGCTATTGTACCTGCCTCAACCACTTTCTCTGGCAGTCCATTCCATAAACGCACACACTCTGTGTGAAGAAGTTGCCCCTCGGCTCCCTCTTAAATCTTTCTCCTCTCACCTTAAACCTATGCCCTGTAATTTTCTATTCCTCATCCCTGGGAAAAAGACTATATGCATTCATCCTATCTGTGGCCTGCGTGATTTTATACAACTCAATAAGGTCACCTCTCATTCTCCTACATACTAAAGAATAGAGTCCTATCCTGGCCAACCTCTCCCTATAACTCAGGCCTTCTAGCCCTGGCAACATCCTCATAAATCTTGTTTGCACACTTTCCAGTTTAACTATGTCTTTCCTATAACAGGGTGACCAAAACCGTACACAATATTCCAAGTGCGGCCTCACCAACGACTTATGCAACTGTAACATAACGTCCCAACTCCTATACTCAATGCCTCGACCGATGAAGGCCAGCATGCTAAATGCTTTCTTCACCACCCTGTCCACCTGTGACGCTGCTTTCAACAAACTATGTACTTGTGCTCTGAGGTTCCTCTGTTCCACAACACTCCTCAGGACTGTAAGATTTACTGTGTAAGTCCTACCTTGATTTGACTTTCCAAAGTGCAACACCTCACCCTTACCTGCATTGAATTGCATTTGCCAATCCTCAGCCCATTTCCCCATCTGATCAATACCCCTCTGTAATTTTTGATAACCTTCCTTGCTATCAACAATAAATCCTAACTTTGTATCATCTGCAAACTTAGGAATCATGCCTTGTACATTCACATCCAGATCATTTCTGTAAATAATAAAGATCCCAGCACCAACTCCTGTAGCACACCACCAGTCACAGGTCTCCAGTCCAAGAGACAACCTTTGACTATCACCCTCTGCTTCCTACCATTGAGCCAATTTTGAATCTAACTAGCTAGATCTCCCTGGATCCCATGCAACCTGACCTTCATGACTAGCCTGCCGTGCGGGACTTTGTTAAAGGCCTTAGTAAAGTCCATAAAGACAACATCCACTGCCCTACCCTCCTCTATCTTTTTGGTTATCTCTTCGAAAAACTCATAACAGATTTGTCAGACATGACCTACATGCACAAATCCATGCTGACTATCCCTAATCAGACCTTGACTATCCAAAAGTTGGTTGATCCTGTCCCTCGGTATCCTCTCCAATAACTTGCCTACCACTGATGTCAGGCTCACTGGCCTGTTGTTCCCTGGCTTGTCTTTTTTACCTTTCTTAAACAATGACTTTGCAGTTTAAACAGGGCTATTTCTGTCATTGCCTTTTCTGATGCCTAGGTCAATGCCAGGTGGCCTGTCCTGTTTCATTTCTTTGAGACTTCATAGCAATGATACAACTGAGTAGCTTGCTAGGCCATTACAGAAGGCAGTTAAGAGTCAACTACATTGCTGTGGGTCTGGAGTAACATGAAGGCTAGACCAGGTGAGGATGGCAGATGAAACATACTTGACCTTTATCCTTTCCAATCTGCCAGCTGCAAATGTCTGATAGTGTTGCTAAGAGTGACCACCTGCTTTCACATTGAGAATACCTTCCATGAAGGACATTAGTTAACCAGATGGTTTTTCCTGATAATTGACAATGACTTCATGGTCATCAGTAGATTCTTAATTCCACATTTTTGTTATTGAATTCAAATCCTACCGTTTGCTATGGCTGGATTCGAGTCGGAGTCCCCAGAATATATAGCTAATTTTCTGAATTAATCGTCCAGCGATAATACCACTAGGCCATCACCTCCCCTGTTAAAGACTGGTGAAACTTGACCTTTCTGATGGGATAAATGTCAGCTTTGCTGCATGTAGGTTCATGACACCATTTTCTAATGACCTACTTGATGAGTATTCGTAGTAAGTGATTAGTAATTTGGCACAAGTTCCACATAGTCCAGAAAGTTGGGGATAGGAATAAGAAAGGAATAACACTTGACGTCTGGAAGTTATCTATTTCTGATGGTGCAAAGAGGAGACTTTGCTAAAGATTTTAAGATTGAATGATCCTTATGGACTGAGTCAGCAGACACTTTGTCTGGGTGGAGTGTTCATTGACGAAGAATCATAATATTGAAGGGAGAGATAAGGATAAATTTCATCCACAAACATAGAAAGTTCAGAATGTGGTTTAGGATGATTATAGTCATAGAATCCCTAGAGTGTAGAAGCAGGCCATTCAGCCCATCGAGTCCACACCAACCCTACAAAGAGCATCCCACCCAGACCGACTCCCCTACCCTATCCCTGTAACCCTATGCTTCCCATGGCTTTTCCACCTAGCCTGTACATTCCTGGATACTATGGGCAATTTATTATGGCCAATCCATTATGGCCAATCCACCAAAACTGCAAATCTTTGGACTGTGGGAGGAATCTGGAGCACCCAGAGGAAATCCACACAGACACGGGGGAGAATGTGCAAACTCCTCTGAGACAGTCACCTCAGAGTGGAATCTAACTCTGGGTCTCTAGCATTGTGACGTGGCAGTGCTAACCACTGAGTCATCTCTTGAGTTACATTCTTTTGAATTCTTCATTTGACTTCATGTCTCATCTGAAGGACAGCAACGGTGCAGCATTCCTTTTGTGCTGCACTGGATTGTTAGTTTGGATTGTGTATTAATTTGAATTGAAACTTGAACTACCATTCTACTGACTCAAAACAAGAGTTCTACCACAGAACAGTGGTTGTCTTTTCAGCAAGTCCAATAACACTCCTTTAGAATTAGTGATATAATAACAAGGAAAATTGTTAAATTACCCAACTTTCTCACTGAGGATGAGACTTTGTCAACTCATGTTGGATTCATCTCTTTCAATATAAAACCAAGCATCATTACTGTTTAGTTACTTTTACATGGGTAGTTCCAAAATCTTGAATGAAACCTATGTGTAGGTATGACCTATCAATGTATCAATAGGTAGTATTTCTGTCTTAAGTTTACTTCTGGGGAAAAAAAACACATTTTATTGAAGATTTTGTCTAACACTCATCAGGAAAATTCACAGGGGAAACAACAATTAGGTTAGAGATATTTTATAATCAACCAGTTCAGAGGTACTATGGCGCATCTCTGGAGCAGATAGCACTTGAACCCAGGACTCCTGGCTCAGAAGTAAAGCACCACACATGGCCCAAGATTCAAAACTGCTTTGGAAAGCCCCCAACAGATTTCTCATCCATCTCCCAAGCTTTTAGCCACAACTACAGGTCTAAACATTTATACTGTAAGTAAACAATACGTATTGGTTGGCAAGTCTACTGTAGTAAAAGTGTTGTCATGTACCAGCTTAGTTAACTGCCAAGCTGTCGGCCATTAACTATCAGTGTTTATCTACTTGGTGCATTCTCCATCGCCATGCCTCTATCACTTAAAGTTAACTTGTTAGCCAATCAGCGTACTTCTCTATCTAGTATATAAATGTTGTTCATTTTTACTATTACATTCTTGTGAATTACCCTGATGAATTAAAGGCAAAATGCTTTGAATGTCTTCTTTCAGCAATACTCAAGTTCTGTACTAAAAATGCCTATTTGCATCAAGGTTATTATATTTACCTGTTCTTTTGAACTGTGAGCTGGTTTTATTAGTTCCAAACTTCACAGCCTAATTCTTAAAAGGATTACTTGTTTGGTGGTCTCAGGTGCAGAAGTAGTTGACTTGACCTGTGAATCCTCTGAGCCTGTGGTTGTCGACCTAACCAATAATGATTCTGTTGAGGTAAGTGATGGTGAGCTCCATTCCACTTGGCTTATCATATTTGCAATGATTGGCTGACTGATCCTTCAGTTTCATTTGAAGATGACTGTAAATACTGAAAGGAAGCTTACAGCTGAGCAATGTTATCTGTTAAAGACAGCATGTCAAATCCTGACGTTTGCCAACTAAAATGTCTTCATTCAGACCAAAATATTAAAAAGAAAAAAAATTAGTGTTTGTTAGCACAATTGAGTGACAATATTATCATTTGAGGTATGGTGTGTTTTTCCTGCCTTTGTAGTTTTCAATATCGTCATTTAATCCACCATTTAAAGTGCCACTGAAGGTGGGATAGGTAGCACAACAGTCATCTATTCGTCACTCCTTCAGTAAAAACAATCAATATAATTTTGAATTTGAAGTCCACTGTTGACATCAATGCACACTGTTAACTTTGAAGTTGACATACCTACATTTAAGGTAAACTGGCTTGAATTGTGTCACTGTTATTAGACCCTCCTTTTGTAATTGGAATATGAAAGCTTTGCATGTGCTGTTTAAGATGCAAATATCAGTATATCATTTTAACAGTTTCACTTTAAATTGAGGTTTGATAGCTGCCATTGAATTGAGAGCCCAATTGCATCTGTGAGCAGTTCTCCAATTTTGTCATGTCCTATCCTCCTGCTTGAATTGAAGATAACATCATTTATAACTCACTGCGCGTGTACCTACTGAGTTGTATCATTTGTCTCTAAGGAAACCACTTTTGTGCGTACAAATTTAATGTGCTGTTGACAGCACAGGGTTCCTTTTATAGAGGCTTTCAAGTGTCTGCCATCCATACTTTTACAAATTATTGGTGACTTGTCAAAAGCTTGTTTCTCACAAGTGGAGAACTGATGGAGCTGCCTTAAGAATTTGGTCATTTGCCCCTCAAGCTTGCCCTGCCATTCAATGAGGTCATGGCTGATCTGCCCCAGGTCTCAACTTCTCTTTTATGTCAGATCATCAACGCTCAACTCCCTAATATTTCAAAAAACTATCTACCTCATTTTTAAATGCTTTCCATATTCTAGCGTATCTACCTTTTCAGGTGGATAATCCCAGACATTCACTACCTTCTGGGAGGGGAAATCCCTTCCCTTCCAGTTTTAAATGAACATCCCCTTATTCTGTAACTATGTACCCTAGTTTGAGATTTCCCCACTAGTGGAACTGTCTTTTCAACAGCTAACTTGTCAAGCCCTGTCAGAATCTTTGTATGTTTTTCTTCTAAATTGTAATGAATAAAGGCCTAACCTGTTTAGCCATTCTTGATAAGTCAACCCCTTCATCCCAGGATTCAGCCTCCTGAATCTGTTTTGAACTGCCTGCAATGCCAACATACCTTTTCTTAAAAACAGAGACCAGAACTATACACAGTATTACAGTTGTAGGCTCACCTGAACCCAGTCATTACAAGTCTTCCCTGTTTTCAATGTTCTGACCAATGCCTTCGCTATCTCTGCAGCCATTTTCATAGAATCCCTGCAGGTGTGGAAGCAAACCGTTCAGCCCATCAAGTCCACACTGACTCTCCAAGAGCATCCCACCCAGACCAGAACCTGCACCCCCACCCCCCACCCTATCCCTGTAAGCCTGAATTTCCCATGGCTAACCTACTTAGCCTGCATATCGTTAGACACTATGGGCAATTTATATTGGCCAATCCAGCTAACCTGCACATCTTTGGATTGTGGGAGGAAACCCATGCAGACACAGACAGAATGTGCGAACTCCACACAGACAGTTGCCCAAGGCTGGAATCGAACCCAGGTCCCTCGTGCAGTGAGGCAGCAGTGCTAACCACAGCCACGTGCCGTCCAAATGTTTCATTAATGAATGCACTTTAATGAATTCCACCTTTGTGAACAACTGGTACATCCTTCTCACAGAATATTCTTTTTTGACCAGAATAAATTCTTGCTGAACATTATGAAATATCCATTTAGATGTCTGCTATTGCTCATCCACTGACTTTCCCCTTCTGTCCTCCCAGCCCCCATTTAGACAAGGCCTGTAATTGCTCTTATTTAAGTTGAGGACATTTGTTTGAGACTGGAGTTGCTTTCTCTGTCAAACTGAAGTTGAAATTTTACAGTGTTGTGACCTCCAGAGAATCTTTAACAATGAGATATGCCAATATATTGCCCCCATCCACGTGTTTTGATTTTACACATGAACCTCTTATGTGGAACTTTATCAAAAGCTTTTCAAAAATCCAAATACAATACATGAACTTGTTTACCGTTATCTATTCTACTCTTTACACCCTCAAAAATCCCCATTAGGCTAGTCTAGCATGCTTCCCCTTTCATAAATCCTGTTGCTATTTTCCGTGTCCTGTTATTGCATCCTTCATAGTAGTATTCGACGACTACTGATGTTAAACTACGATGTCTGTAATTCTGTTTCTATCCACCTTCCTTTTTTAAATTGTGGCCTTACATTTGCCTCCCTCCAATCTTGAGAATGTTTCAGAATTTACAGAATTTTGGAGATTGACAAACAATGCTTCCATTATGAAGGCCTCATTTAGTACTACAAGATATAGATTATCAAATGCTACGGATTTGTTTAGTAACTAGTAGTTGTTGATAGAGGGAGCCAGTGGATTGATATACTTGCACTTTCACAAGACTTTCAATAAAGTGTCATATACGAGATGAGCATGTAAAATTAAAGCACATGGGATTGGAAGTAGAATACTGACATAGAGAACAGGTTGGCAGACAGAAAACAGTAGGAATAAATGGGATTTTTTCCGAGTGGCAGGCAGTGACTATTGGGATAAGGCAGGGATCAGTTTAGACCCCGGCTATTCACAACGTATTAATGATTTAAATGAAGGAACTAAATGTAATATCTCCAAGTGTGCATACAAAGCAAAGTTGGGTGGGAAGATGAACTGTGAGGAGGATGCAGTGATGCTTCAGGCTGATACGGAAAAGTTGTGCGTGAGGGTAAATGCATGGCAGATGAAGTATAAAGTGGATAAATGTGAGATGATCCGCTTGGGTTACAAAAAGTGGAAGGCAAGTTATTAACTGAATAGGGATAAGTAGGGAAAGAGGGGGTGCAGCGTGAACTGGGGTGTCTTCATACACCAGTCACTGAAGGTAAGGCAGGTGCAGTAGGCAGTGAAGAAGGTAAATATTACATTGGCCTTCATAGCGAGAGAATTCAAGTACAGGTGCAAGGATGTCTTGCTACAATTGTGCACACAAAACCACGCAAGGAGTATTGTGTGCAGTTCTCGTCTCATTATCTGAGGAAGGAAGGTCTGGCCATATAGGGAGTGTAACAAAGGTTTACTAATCTGATTCCTGGGATATGTCATTTAGGACTGAAATGAGAATTTGTTTTTTTTCTGCCAGAGAATGGCGAACCTGTGGAGTTCTCTGCCACAGGAAACGGTTGAGGCTAAAACATTGAATTCTTTGAAGAAAGAGTTAGATATAGTTCTTAGGGCTAAAGAGATTAAATGGTATGTGGAGAAAGCTAGAAGAGTCATATTCATACAGCATAAAAACAGGCGCTTCAGCCCACGATGTCTTTGCTGACCAACAAAAACTAGACTGCACTGATCCCATTTACCTGCACTTGGTCCATAGCCTATTGTGCCCTGGCATTTGGAATACTCATTCCAATGATTAAACTAGACTTTCTGCCTCCACCACCCTTTTAGGCAGTATGTTCCACCTTTCAACCACCCTCTAGGTGAAAAAATTCTTTCTCCGATTTCCATAAAACCACTTGCTCCTCACCATAGATCTATGCCATCCAGTCTTAGACACATCTGCCATGGGGAAGAGATTCTAACAATTCACTCTGTTTGTAGCTGTCATAATTTTGTACACCTCAATCAGATACCTCTGGTGCTGGATACTGAGTTGAATGATCAGTCTTGATCACATTGAATGGCAGAACAGGCTTAAAGGGCTGAATGGCTTACTCCTATTCCTATTTGCTATGTTTCTATCAGCTTTCAGTCCCATTCATTTCTCCAGCACACTTTTTAGGAATATTAATCTCCTTCAATTCCTCCTTCCCAACAGCCCCTTTCTCCCCTGACATTTCTGGGACATTTTGTGTTTTCGGTGAGGATAGAACTAAAGTAGTTATTTAATTGTTTGGCCATTTTATTATTATCAATCTCTATTAAAATCATAGAGCCCCTACCGTGCAGATAGAGACCATTCAGCCCATCACATCTGCACCAACCCTCTGAGGCACATCACATCTAGATCCATCCCTATCATCCCCATAACCCCACGTTTACCATTGCTAATCCACCTAACGTGCACACCTTTGGTTTATGGGAGGAAACCTGAGCACCTGGAGAAAACCCAGAAAGACACGGAAAATGTACAAACTCCGCACAGATCGTCACCCAAGTCTGGAATTGAACCTGGAATTTTCCTGAATTCTAAATGCTCCTGTATCAGACTATTAATGACCTATCTTTGTCTTCACTAACCCTTTACTTTCTACATACTTAGAAACTGTTACAATCTGCTTTAATGTTCCTTGTGGGGTTGTTCTCATACTTGATTTCACTGCTCTTAATCAATCTCTTGTTTCTCCTTTGCTGAATTCTAAACTGCTCCCAATCCTTAGGCTTGCTACTTTTTCAAAGAACTTTCTATGACCAATCTTTGAATCTAATACAATTATTTTTAGTCATGGTTGAACCACATTTCCTGTTCTATTTTTGCAGCATAAAAATATTCATAGCTGTTCCAATGCATGCACTTCTTCCTTTTAACATTAGTCATTGCCTATCAAGTTACCAATTCTGCTGCAGCTAGTGTCTTTTATTATCAAAGTTTCTTTTGTTTAGGTCTAGGACTGCAGCTTCGGATTGGACAACTTCCTATCCCAATGATGAATTCCATCATGTTGTGCTCACTCTTACCTAAAAGTCCTCACAAGAAGATTGTTAATTAACCCTTCTTACAGCATAGCATAAAATCTGTGCATGCCTTTCCCTAGTTTACTCCTTAATGTACTGGTCCAAAAGAATGTCTTGTATAGACTCACAGGAATTCATCTGCAAACATGTTATGCTCATGTGGTTTCCCTAGTCTTATGTAGATTTGAGTTACTCATGATTATTCTGGCATTCTTGTTCCATTTATCTCTAATTCCCTGTTTACTGCCATTTCCTACTTTAGCATGACCGTTTGGAGATCTTTACAAAATTTCCATAACTTCCAGGGCAATTAAGAAGGGGCAATTAAATGCTAGCCTGGCCAACGACACCCACATCCCATGAATGAATTATTTTAAAAGTGCATTGTGGAGCAAAGCTACCAGCTCCATGTTTAATTTTATATTTGTTGTATCTTTCTTTGTCTAATCTACTTCTCTCTTTATTTTCAACAAAACCTGTGCATTGTCCAGATCGTGGATGAAGGTGAGTTCAGCAAATGAAGAAACTTCTCCGATTCATTCAGCCAGTGGATTCTGTGATAAACAGAAATGCTTTTGTTTAGGGAGTTAATGTGAAGTAACTAATAGTTTTCAAGTGTTAATGGCAGTACATAGAATCGATGTATATTTCTTGTCCCTTGTTTGTTTCTGAGGTTTTGCATTTAATGATCAAAGTAATGAATTATTTCAAGTACTCATGTTTGAGGCGTGGCATAAATGCAAGTCTTCTATTTCAATCTTGCGGTTCTCATTAGTCTGTTCTGAATATTGAGACATGGCTTCTGAACTTGTAATTGCTAATAGATCAATAATCCTTGTTAAATGGGGAGCAAGTCATTGGGCCTGTCATTGACTGACTGTCCAATTTTTTATCTTGTTTTTGCAAACGCGTATGGGTTAAACATTATGCAGTGTATTGTTACAAGAATAATTTTGAGCTGTATGCCTCTGTCATCCCTTTCTCTCAAAGACAAGCTGTTAATAGACATGAAAATTTGTCCCCCTGCTGTCTGCTGCTTGTCTCCTGTGAAAATTAACAATGGATAAATTGATGGCTCTTTGGTTACTGGCAGTCAAGCTCTTTTTGACTCTGTTGTTGTAGTTCAATATCGGTGAGCTTCTCTTTGTTGTTCATCGTGATATTTGGGGTGAAAGGTTTTCATCAGTAGAATCCTACTTAAGTGAAGTGTTAAGTTTTTATTGTGAGCTTCTATTTTTTGCTGTGCCCCACCCCTCAGAACCTGTGCTGATCCTCCTGAAAGAAATCCAAGTAACAGCATATTTTTATTGTTCCATACGTTGTCATTTTGCAGATCTGTCCTCCTCAAATAGTCAGCCAAGTTCTGCTGATGACCAGCCAGGCAGAACGCAGTCAGACAGCTGTATTCTCTGCAGTGATGAAGAAGATACCAGAGCAGATGGAAGTAGCAGTGTGTCTGTAACAAGTGCAGCAGCTGTACCTCAGGGAAACCGTCTTCATCCTGCCTTGTGCAACAAAGACTTAAGGTTAAAAAACAGTTTTGTTTTTAAACGGCATCTTTCACAACCTTGGGATGTACAACAGTGCTTTACAGCCAAGGAAGCACTTTTGACATGTAATCGCTGTTGCAGTGTAGGAAACCTAGAGACTAATTTTGTGTGAAACTTCTGCCAGCAACAGTCTGAAAATGAAGAGATCTTTTGTTTTTGGTAATAACTGGCTAAGAGCCAAATACTGGTTGGGACAAGGGAGAATTTCTCTCTTGGTGCTATGGAATCTTTCACGTCTATCTGAGAGGGCAACAGGGGCCTCCTTTAAATGCCTCCTCCAAAAGTTAACACATTCTGACAGGGCTCCCTCATGTTGGACTGTCAGTCTAGTTTGTGTACTTTAGATCATAGAATAGAATGCCTACAGAGTGGAAGCAGGCCATTTGGCCCATTGTGTCCACACCACCCCCTCCTACCCTATCCCTGTAACCCTGCATTTCCCCATGGCTAATCCACCTAGCCTGCACATTCCTGGACTCTGGCAATTTAGCATGGCAAATCCACCTAATCTGCACATTTTTAGACTATGGGAGGGAACCAGAGCACCTGGAGGAAAGCCACGCAGACACAGGGAGAATGTGCAATTGCCGCACAGAGTCGCCCAAGGATGGAATTGAACCCAGGTCCCTGGCGCTTGAGGCAGCAGTGCTAACCACTGAGCTGCCACGGAGCCCCCCCTCCTTGTTGAAATCTTATTTGAGACCCTCAAGTAAACATCAAATACAAGAGCAGAGTGCTACCCATTCAGCTGCAGCTGGCATCAAGTCGGTCTGGCTGTGTTCTAAGCCTTTGACTTGTATTGAGAGCGACACTTTCTTTGCACCATTGACCATTTCCCATCTCCAACGAGCAACATGACTGGAGATCCCTGGCACCATATGAAAATAAGTCCCATTCTCCTACCACATGGATCATGAACTTCTGGCTGGCAGTTTCAACGAAAACACAGGTAGACTGTCTTTAGGGCTGTCACATGATATCCCATAACTTGTTGGTAGGCCAGCCCATAGATTAGACTTTAGCTCAGATACTATGACCATCTTCTCCAGCTACTTGATCAGAGACTTTCTCTTCAAAGTAGTGCTATAAGTTGGATGTTCAATAATTGCCCAGTGTTCTGTACCACTCTCAACTTCTTTCGTATTGAAGCCGAGAGTGCCCAAATGTAGCAGAACCTGGACAACATTCAGACATCAGCCAATAAGTCACTTGTAACATCTGCACCATGCAAGCAACAGGCAATGACCATCTTCCCTTGATGATTAAGACCATTTCTTTTGCAGAAACTCTGCCATGAGCATTCTGGGAGCTATCATTGATGAGAAACTTAAGTGAGCCAGGCATAATATTGCTGCAAGAGCAAATCAGAAGCTGGGAATCTTTAGCGAGTAACTTGCCACCTCTCTCCCAAAATTGTGTCCACAGCACAAGTCAGGAGTGTAACAGAATACTCCCCTGTTGTCTGGATAAGTACAGCTCCAAAAACGCTCAAGACTCAGGACAAAGCAGCCCACTTGATTGGCACCCCATCTATTACCATCAAACATTCATTTCCTCTGCCAATAAGACTCAGTGGCAGCAGTGTGTACCATCTACAAGATGGACTGCAGTAACTCACCATGACTCCTTCAACAGCATCTTCCAGATCAGTGACCTCTACCATGTAGAATAGTGGTTTCCAATCTTCTTTTAAGTACAAAATAATTTTTTGAATTTATGTATGTCATGATCTATCCCAAAGAAAATTATATTTAATTATTAATTTGTCCTTTACTCTCAGATCTCATTGTGATATCTATGTGCAATATTTGCCAGTACCTTGAAGTCTGGTTTGTAGCTTTAGACTGCCAAACATATACAGACCATCAAATCAGTCTCTGAGCCGTGGGTGCAGTACTTGGACGTGATTATCTTCATTTGGGAGAACACTGTCTAACTGGGGTACATAGAGCCCAAGTTAGCTTTCACTTTAAAAGCACAGGATGATAGGCCTGGGTATTTTTCTATGTTTACAAGTCCGCAAAGATTGCTGTACCTTGACCATGCTGTCAGGCAAGACAGAGCATGTTCAATATATTTTACCACCCTCTGAGTGATAAAGTTTTTTTTCCCTCAGATCGCCTGTAAACTAGTTATCCTCATCTTAAAATTTTGCCCTTTTATCTCAGACATGTCTGCCTTTGGGAAGAGATTCTCACTATCTGCTCTGTATGTAATTATAGAGCCTCCTATAATTTTGTGTACTTCAATCCAATTGCCCCCACAACCACCTCTGCTCCAGATAAAACAGATCTAACCAGTCTGTCCTCATAACTGAGACTTTCCATTCCAGGCGACATCCTAGTGAATCTACTCTGCACCCTCTCCAGTGCAGTCACATCCTTCTGATAGTTTGGCAACCAGAACTGCAAACTAGTAGTATTCCATCCGTGGCCTGATCAATTGTCTGTAAAGATAGAACAAGACTTCCCTGTTCTTACATTCTACACCCTGGCTAATAAAGGCAAGCATCCCTTGTGCTTACTTCATCTCCCTATATACCTGTGCTGACATCTTCAGGCATCTATGGACTTGTACACCAAGGTCCCATTGTTCCTCAGTACTCTGTAGGGACCTACTAGTCATTGGGTAAATCCTTCCCTTAATACACCTCCCAAAATGCATGACTTCACACTTAGCAGGATTAAATTCCATCTGCCATTGCTCTGTCCAATTTACCAGCTAATCAGTATCAGACTGTAATAAAAACAGAAGTTGCTGGAAAAGCTCAGCAGGGTTCTGAGGTAGGGTCACTGGACCTGAAAAGTTAACTCTGATTTTTTTCTTCACAAATGCTGCTAGACCAGCTGACCTTTTCCAGCACCTTCTGTTTTTGTTCCTGATTTACAGCATCCACAGTTCTTACGGTTTTTATTTAGTATCAGACTGTAGCCTGAGATCATCTTTCTCAGTATCAAAAACACCACCAATTTTCATGTCATCTGCAAACTTACTAATTATACCTGCTACATTTGTATCAAAATCATTAATGTATATAACAAACAGCAAAAGACCCAGCACTGATCCCTGTCGTGCATGGTTGGTCACCGCTGTCCTTGAAGAAATTGGGTTGAACTGCTGCAGACCCTGCCCCAGACTACTCTAGCAGTGCTTTTAGGCAGGGAGCTCTAGGATTTGGGTCAAATGATGATAGAGTGGTGCTCTGGTTCTAGGTCAGAATGACTTGTTGTTCCATACTTGCTGGACTTATGGAAGAGGCGACAAACTTTGACACGCATGTGAAATGCTCTTTCAAAGACCTCCGGGCTGCAGTCTTTCAAGCTGTAAACCCAGCCAGGGTGACGTTGCCTCTCATTTGGTACAGAATTGATGGAAAAATCTTTAGATACTGCACATTTGAACACTCTGCTTCTGCCATCTGTTGCAGCTCCATTTGCCTTCTAATTCTTTGCACCCATTAATATTTTGCTTTGGGCGTTCTGTTTTTGACCGTGCCATTCCTGGACAGTCAGTTGCTTTAAGGAGATAGGGACAAAATGTGAACAAATAGCATTAATTGCTGCTAGTTGAATAAAATTGGGAGTGTTGTCTTATGACTAGTGAAGCAACAACCTTACATAGCCATGTCTGTTTCTTTGTTTTTGACAGATGTGTTCAAAATCTTGCTCACCGAAGAGCTGGTTCAGGAACAATTAGCTGCCCCATATGTATGGATGGTTACACAGAGGTAATACATCAATGGAGAAATGAAATTGTTACCTGTCTCTGCTACCAAATGTTTCAGTATTAAAAAAGGCTACTCAGCCCATCATGTCTGTTAGCTCTCAGTTGGACCTTAGTGTCCAGCTTGTTTCCCCATGGCCTGATAACTTTCCCTTTTAAATATATATTAAATTCTATTTTGAATATTACTTTGAACCACTTGCAGTCGCTGGATTGAGGCACTAATAAGGTTCTGGGGACTAGGGTTCAAATCTCATCACAGCAAATGGTGCAAACTGAATTGAATAAATTGATTGGAATTAAAAATTGAACAATGACAATGACCACTATTGATTGTTGTGAAAAGTTGTCTGTTTCAGTCATGTCCTTTAGGGAAAGAAATCTGCCATCCTTATCTGGTCTGGCTTATATGTGATGCCAGATTCATGACAAAGTGTTTGACTCTTGACTGCCCCTGAAATGGCCTAACGAGCCACTCAATCATACAAAATTCTCCCAAAGTGATGAAATCAGATGGACCGTCTGACATCAATTGAGCAACCTCAGCCCTGTCGACCCTGCAAAGTCTTCCTTACTGTGATTTGAGGACTAGGGCCAAAATTGAGAATGCTATCCTGCACATGAGTGATGCAACAACCTTGCATCGACCCATTCATTACACACTGTCTCAGGCGCCAGCGCCATCACCATCCCTAGGTATGTTCTGTCCCACTCGCAAGACCACTTAGCTTCTGACCTACTTACAGCCTTGGTTCAAATGTGAACAAATGAGGTGAATTCCAGAGGTGTACTGTAGGCATTCTATGAAAAAGTGAGGTGAATGTGATTGCCCTTGACATCAAGACCATATATGAACAAGTTTGGCATTAAGTAGCCCAAGCAAAACAGGTCATTGGGTCAAATTTATTAGAGTTCTTTGAGTTCTTAACAAACAGAATGGTATAAAGGAGAATCAGTAGATGTGATGTTTTAGTACTTTTACATTTCTTAAAGGCATTCACCAAAGTACTACATAAGACAAGAGTGTCTGATCATTTAGTGGGAAAAATGTCAGATTGGCAAACTAACAACCAGAGCCCCAAAGGAATCTGTGCTGGAACCTTCATGCAGTGTAACCTGTATTGGTGGTTTAGATGAGGTGGTGGTGACCTCAGCCAGTGTGGGAATTGAACCTGCGCTGATGGCGTCACTGTGCATCACAAACCAGCCGTCCAGCCAGCTGAACTAATGTGAATCGTTCACAATGAAGCTCCCACATTTGCAACCTCTCCCCTTACCTGAGACATGACGACCCTCTGGTTAAACTTACCACTACTCATCTCTCTCTAATGAGAACAGTCCTATGGTCCTCTAGGACTCTGGTCTCTGTACCTTTCTACCTAAATGAGGAGAGAGTGTGTTTGTTTTTTTTTTCAACATTTGCTGGTCAGACAAAGGTAGACAGGCAAGTTAACTGGGATGAGGACATGGGGTCTGCAAAAGGATATAGACTGTTTGTGAATGGGCAAAACTCTCTGGCAGGGGGAAATGTGTGGCTGTCTACCTTGGCAGAGATAATCATAAAGCAGAATATTATTGGAGTGGAGAGAGATATTGCAAAACACTGAGATAGAGAGGGAGTTTGGGTGTCATTGTACTTGAATCTCTCAAAGTCACTGTGCAGGTAAATTAAGGGCAACATTCCATTTACCTTCCTAATTAGAAGGAGAATGAAACCTCAAAATAGGTAAATCTTGCAATAACTGAACAAGAAATCACAAGCTCCTGGTCTCCCTGCCGGCTGGGGAGACGATGATGGCCTCGTGGTATTATCGCTGGACTGTTAATCCAAAGACCCAGATAATGTTCTGTGGTCCCGTGTTCGAATCCCACCACCGCAGATGGTGGAATTTGAATTCAATAAGAATCTGGAATTTATAGTCTAATGATGATCACAAAACCCATCCGGTTCACTAATGTCCTTCAGGTAAGGCATCTGCCATCCTTATCTGGTCTGGCCTACATGGGACTCCAGACCCACAGCAATGTGTGATTGACTCTCGACTGCCCTCTGGGCAATTAGGGATGGCCAATGAATGCTAGCCAAGCCAACGATGCCCAAATCCCATGAATGTATAAATAAAAAAATTTAGTGAGACCACAAAAACAGAAATTATTTGAAAAGCTCAGCAGGTCTGGCAGCATCAGTGAAGAACAATCAGAAAGGGTCACTGGACCTGAAACATTAATTCTGTTTTTTCTTCACAGATGCTGCTAGACCTGCTGAGCTTTTTCAGCAACTTCTGCTTTTGTTCCTGATTTACAGCATCCGCAGTTCTTTCAGTTTTTATTAGTGAAACCACACTTGAACTGCGCATTGTTTGAATTTGAATCGAGCTTATTGTCACGTGTGTTCGTGACTCCAGTGAAAAGTTTACATTTCACCACTTGCTGCGCCTTTTTAAGTACAAAGATACCTGGGTACAGAAACTTGGTATGAAGCAGTAAAATAAAGAAAACAAAAGTTTTAAAAAGTTAAACATTGGAGTCCTTCTTACTAAAAAGTAGATAAACAAGAAACGTAGTTAATAGTTCAACACTGTAGTCCATAAGCATCTAGCCATGCTGGACTGTCACTCCTCACAAGGGTCCAACCTCTCCCGCTTTGAGCTCAACCTAGTCCCTGCTGCCACCCTGGGCTGCCTGCTTCTGGTCTCGCTGCCAGCCGCCTCTCTCAGCCTGCTGCCGCTCGCACTGCCAGCCACCCCGGACTACCTGCTCCACCTCTCGCCAAGGTCGAATTTGAATGCCGAATACAGGGTTAATGGCAGAATTCTCGGCAGTGTGGAGGAACAGAGAGATCTTGGGGTCCACGTCCATAGATCCCTCAAAGTTGTGACCCAAGTTGATAGGGTTGTAAAGAAGGCTATGGTGTGTTGGCTTTCATTGGCAGGGGAATTGAGTTTGATCTGTGAGGTTATGCTGCAGCTCTATAAAACTCTGGTTAGACCACACTTGGAATATTGTGTTCACTTCTGGTCACCTCATTATAGGAAAGATGTGGAAGCTTTAGAGAGGGTGCAGAGGAGATTTACCAGGATGCTGCCTGGACTGGAGGGCAGGTCTTATGAGGAAAGGTTGAGGGAACTAGGGCTTTTCTCATCGGAGCGAAGAAGGATGAGAGGTGACTTGATAGAGGCGTATAAGATGATGAGAGGAATAGGTAGAGTGGATATCCGGAGACTTTTTCCCAGGGCATAATTTTAAGGTGATTGCAGGAAGGTATAGGGGAGATGTCAGAGGTAGGTTCTTCACACAGAGAGTGGTGGGCGTGTGGAATGTGCTGCCGGCAGTGGTAGTGGAGTCAGATACTTTCGAGACTTTTAAGCGACTCTTGGATAGGCACGTGGAGGATAGTAAAATGTAGGGTATGCAGGGTAGATTGATCTTAGTAGGATAATAGGTCGGCACAACATCATGGGCTGAAGGGCCTGTACTGTTCTATGTTCACTCATCTGCCATCGACGCTAGGGACCCCTCTCGCCCTCCTTGCGCTGGCTTGGTCAACTCCACACTGCACAGTGTGCACCCCACATAAGGTAAGTAAGTTAAACTTAAGAAGTGAAAGAAGCAGCAAAAAAAGTGCATGGATTAAAAATAAAAGCATAAGTTACTGAAACAGACGAGCCCTGAGCAGGAGCCCACATGCTGCGCTGCTACTCCACCACCTTCTTGAATAGGTTTTGGTCTCATTCAGGGAAATATATTCTTTGGAGGCAGTTCCGAGGTTGGTTCGTGGGATAAATGGATTGTTTTGTGAGGTTTTTTTGGAGTTTAGAAGAATGAGGGATGATTCCGAGGTTGCTTGTTAGGGTAGATGCTGAGAGAATAGGACTTGGGGAAGATGTAAACATCAGTCTCTGTTTAGAGATGGAGATGAGTAATTTCTTCTGAGGGTTATTAATCTTTAGAATGCTGTCATCCAGCAAGCAAAGATGGTTGGATCATTCCTCATAGCTGAGTTAGACAGAAATTTAAATGACATGGGAGTCAGTGGTTACAAGAAGAAGGCAAGGAAGTCAAACTAAGTCTACAAAAAGATTAGCCACAATCCTGTTTAATAGAAGAGCAGCTTGAAGGGCTGAATAGCTTACTCCATCTATTGCTTGTATAACCAAATGTTATTTTTGATCTTTTTCTAGATTGTTCAAAGTGGGAGGCTTATCGTCTCGACAAAATGTGGTCACGTCTTCTGCAGCCAATGCATCCGGGACAGTCTCAAAAATTCACACATGTGTCCGACTTGCAGAAAAAAATTGAATACTCGCCAGTATCATCCAATTTACATTTGACTGCAAGGTCTTTGTCCTGAACTTTATGTACCCTACAAAGTGCTGGCCGCATTGAAATCCTCTTGCATTCTTCAGTTTTCTCTGAAGAACTGGGTGGCTCCTGTTGGAGACTGAAATGCGTTTGCAAGATGCACACATCATCAGCTGTCCATCTGTCACTATCTGATCCTGTCAACTGGCTGTATTTAAAATGCTGTGGGGACGGGGGTGGGTGGGTGGGATGAGTGGAAGGGAGGGCAAGAAATAAAACAAAGCACCAGCATACTCCAGTCACCAACTAACTCAGATGTATGTTTTGTATGTATTTCTCTCTTTTTATTGGCCTTTCTCTTTCTCTATCTCTATCTCTCTCTGTCCCTCTCTTTTTCTTTTACTCTTTTTTCTTGCTTTCTTGCTTTCTTGCTTTCTTTCTTGCTTTCTTTCTTGCTGTTTCTCCCTGTCTCTCTGTCTCTATTTTCCTATGCTCCAGCCTCATGACAGGTAATCACTGCACAAGGTTTGTAATCCTTGCTGTTTGTGGTCTTTCATTATATTGACTTGCAAACCCACCTTACCAATATGCGGACCAACTTTCTTTAGTACTAAGCACCATCAGTTGGTCCAGTTCCTGCTCTGGTGGTGCCTTTTTCTTTCAGTGGAGCGTGCATCACGATGTGTGAAAAACACCAAGACACTGGGCAGTGAATAAACCGAAGGGTGGGGGAAATGCAATTCAAAGTTACGAGGAACACAAGTTTTTGATGATTCTGAATTTCCTCAGGAAATCTTTCAAAGCCTTACATATGCTGAAAGTTGGGTTTCAGAAGTTGATGTTGCAGTGAGCAAGGAATACTCTATGCATGATTGTAAGTTTTGGGAATATTTTGCTGATTTTTTTTTTTCCTTTTTAAATTAATCTTTTATTGTAACTGAAATCTGAATCACTAGTACTTTTGACCAAAAGTTCCTATAGTTACATTTTGCAGCATCAGACTGCTCCTTGTCTATGAGATGACAAATATCTGGGAACTGCAGATTTATGTTGAAACAAATCAAATTTCATGTGTTGAAATTCAGATACCTTTGCAAAAAATAAAGATGAAATTAATTTTTAAAACTGTTGCAATGAAAGTATTTTGAATAATTGGTTAAATATCTGTTTTCATTGTCTGTGAATCTTTGTGCAGAGTGTTTTATTCATTTGTAATAAAGTACCAGAATGTCCGGAGCTGATATCCTCTGTGCCAATTAGAAGCTGTTCCTCCCATCCCATGACCACCATCACCACCACAAAAAATGGACATTCTGGAAAAGAAGGGTGGGCTTAAAATAAATTACTCAATGAATGATTTTCATCCCATTTTGTCTCTATTTCAGATGAATTTCTTGCTCCCTTTCATTTGGTTGAACGCTGCTCAGGCACTCTCATCCTATCTCATCTCATCACATCCTTTCTTTATGCATTTGCTCCAATCCTTTGTTTTCATTTCATTATGAATATTCTTCCCTGTAGAGTTCAATTATTTCTGTACGTCTGTGAGCATTAGCGCCTCAAATGAAAGTTTTGAACCACACAACCAGCATTCCCTCCCTACCCCCTGCAGCTCAACATCTCATCAGCAGATACAAAACCTTTAATCCTACCCTCGTCCCGTTTTGATTTTAAACCAGCTTTGCATTGAAAGAGAGTAATGAGCAGTACCATGCCAAAATTGAAAAACATCAATGACCTACTTTTGATTTTCCTTTGGGAAGGGTTGCTCTCCTTTTGGGCTCTGTGAATCATTGACCTTTTCATTGGGTGCTGTTGTGTTTTTCACAAGTGGCAGTGTTGTTACGGTGAACTGCAGCACAATCTACAAAGTATGGTTTGAGTATCATTCAACCCGGCACACTCGAAGCAAGTGCTCTTCCACCACTTGATTCACATCATCCTGGTTGGTTGGCCTGTTTCCAATAAATATTACTGTCGATGCATTAATTCAACACTGATAGTATCAGAATGTGCCAGTCCACAGATTGACCACTGTTTCTATTAATAGAAAGTGTATCAGGCATGTACTGGTTTTGTTTGTAGAGGGAGAACACTACTCTGGGACCAATCCAGAGGTGTAATTGGGGATTGATAACTCTGGTCAATACCGAATGAATAGTTGTTGATTGAAAGCTATTAAGACTGATGGTATTGGAGACCTCTCCTCTCTTCTGTTGTGTCTTATGAATATTGAGTCTGAACTGTCCTAAACTGTTTGGAATAAGATGATGTTGGTCTGCCTTTACTTAATTTAGGTTGTAATGTTGTATTAAGTTATGAACTTGCTCTATGATTGGGAAATGTGACTGAAGACAGGGTTACTCTTTTCGAAGTTAATCCACAAAAGCTGACTACAATTAAGAGCTTTACATTTCATCTTTACTATATCGTATCCAATATTCAAACCCTCCATGAGCACAGGTGGGTGCAGACCAAGATATTTTATCAACATTATCAAGTGATCAGTGTCCTAGCATTTTGGTTGGGAATAATCATGCATTTTTTTCAGACATGGATCTATCTTGGCCATAAAGTGAGAAAATGCTTACAAGACAGCTAAGCTATCTCCACACTTGCTAGGCCATTTCTGTATATCAGAAAGTAAGGCATAGGAATTGTGAATCAATGCCCACCAAATAGAGACATACTGGAACAGAGCAGATGGGTAGTTTTAAGCTTTGTTTGCAAAACAGCTGGTGCCAATTTCAGCATCCAGGGTTATACCATTCCATATACAAAACAATGGCATACTATGTCTAATTTGTACATAATCACTCTTTTACACTAATCTGCCAACATAGTCAAGCTTCCCCCACAGTGTCCAGCATAATGCTCTACATTTGTGATGAGGTGCTATGCACGGTCTTAGGTATGTTACCTCAGGATGAGAGATGATTGATCTGAAATGCTAATTGTATTCCTTTTGTGGTGTAATTACTGTTGCTGTGCAGATTTTCTTACAGTACAAAGTTACAAAAACACATGCATTACTAATTGGATCATGATTGTGTGATTTGAGGGGTCAATATTGGCCAGGGCACGAGGGAAAATTAACTGCATGTCATGGGGTCTCTAGTATCAACCTGAGAGATTTGAGCTTGGTTTAACCTCTGATCTGAAAAACAATATCTCTAAGTACTTAGTACTGCACCATAGTGCCAGTCAGTTTTAAGTACTTAAGTCACTGGAATGGAACTCTGGTGACAGCTCTACAAGTTACAGAACAGGATCAAGTCTCTGCTGAGGAATGTGATTTCAGTAGAATGGTGGTGGCACTTGCAAAGTCTTCATGATTCCTGAGGAGTGCAGAATGGAGAGAATTTCCCTCTGGTGACCCCCTGACAAAAGTATGTGTTGTGCATTGAGTGAGGACACGAGCAGAATCTAGTGTAGTTGAACACCCTGACAATTCACTATCGAGACAATGTGGGCAAAGCAAATACTACAGAGCACCTCAGCACAAAAGAGGTAGGACTACATATAATAACTTTACCCAAAGTCCTCGATGATACCGCACAGGAGGTCATCTAACACATGCTTTTTGTTGGATATATTCAATAATATTTGCTTAAGGTTTGTTTGTGTCATTGGAAAGACTAACATTTAGTGACCATCCCAAGTTTCCTCTCTAGAAGATGGTGGTGAGTCATCTCGTTGAAGCTCTGCAGCCCCTATGTTGTGAGCAAAGCAGAGTGCTGTTTGGAAGGGAATAACTGGATTTTAGTCTAGTGAACAAGAAGGAATGATGATGTATTTACTAGTCAGGATATGGTGCCACTTGTTAGGGAACTCTCAGGTTGTGCTGTTCCTATCTGTCCAATTAATTCCACTCCCCTGCTTTTGTTCTCAAAGCACTGTAATTCTTCATTGAATTATTTATCTAATTTTCTTTTGCACCTAACTGTTCAATCTGCATCATACCCTTCAGATAGTGCATGAACAGCTCATTGTAAGAAAGAATTCTACCACACTTTTTTATTAATCATCTTCTAGCATTCAGGAGTGGGTGAGCATCATGACCATCAAGGCTACGATTGCCCATTAGCAGCTTCTTTGTGTCAGTCCTATACTTAAGTCAGACACCAGGTTCCCAACACAGGTTGGCTGCTTCCAGCTCAGAGCAGACACACTTGAGGAGGACAGAAGAAGCACTGCAAGGATGTACTGAAAACCAACAAAAGGAAATGCAACATGGATATCAACTCCTGCACAATCTTTGCCAGTAATGTGTGTTACTATCTTCACGACAATTGCCTCTTTCCTGTGACCAGGAGTCTATGCATTATTCCAGCTATGACTTATAGTGTCATTGTGGCGTACAAGGCAATCGTTCAGCTCATCAACTCCATGCTAGCTTTCTGTGGAATAATTCATTCGTTCCCATTCGTCTATTTGTAAAGTTAAGGCTTATCCCAATTCGAGCAACATGGGAAAAGGAGTGGGCCATTCAGCCCATCATGCCTGTCCTGCCAATCAATAAGACTATGGCAGATATTACACTGCCTCCTCCTCACTCCAACCCATAACTTTGTGTGCCACTGATGTTCAGAAATCTATCAATATCTACCTTAAACATACTCAAAAACTGAGCACCCCCACCCCTCATGACAGGGAATTCCAAAAATTCAAAACCCTTGGAGTAAAATTGTTTCTTCTCATCTTTAACATAAGTGGCATCCCCTAGTTTTTAACCAGTGCCCCCAGTTTTATATTCCCCAACCAGAGAAAACATTCTCCAGCATCTATCCTATCTATCCCTAAGTATTTTGTAAGTTTCACTCAGTTCACCTCTCATTCTTCAAAATTCTAGAGAATAATGGCCCTATTTGTCTAACCTGTCTTTGTAATGTAGTACTGCTATCCTGGGAACTCTGGTGAACCTTCATTGCACTGCCTCTATGGCAGTCATAACTTTCCTGTAATACGGAGACCAAAACTGCACATGGTACTTTAGGTGCAGTCTAACCAAGCTCTTGCATATTTAAAGCAAGATTTCACTAATCCTATACTCAAAAATCCTCTTGTGATAAAGGCTAACATTCCATTAGTCTTCCTAATAGCTTGCTGCATCTGCACATTAGCCTTTATTGACAAGGGCGCCTCGGTCCCTTTGTACATCTACACTTTCCAATTGTCAGAACTCTGTGTGTGGATTAGCAGTTAAAACTCAATAGGAAGAAGTTGCAAATTCTACATAGAAGCATCCAAACGTATATGAAGTCTATGAAAATACAGCTGAATATGACAGACTGAAGAAATGCTGTCAACCACAGGGTGGCAGAATTGCATAGACAGTTTCTGTCCCTTTGCATAAAACTTGCCCCTCAAAGAAAACTTCATAATTATTCCACTCCACTTATTCTAATTATCCACTAGTACAGTAGTAATCTCTTGCACCAGTATAATGCAAAAAAATTTGCATTTATGCAGCACCTTTCACAACTTCAGGATGTTGGTTTTCAGTTATGAGCTACTCCTTCAAGCGTATCCCCTTCATTAGGAAGCAGTGCAGTCAATTTGTGTAGTTCCCTGAAATGAGATGAGAGCTAGTTAGGATGAGAGCTGTTGTTTGACAGGTAAGTGATGGTCAGGGCACAAAGGAGAACTCTGCTGCTCTTCCTAGAAGTAATTGTGATGTTTTAACATTCAATTTAGAGAGTAGGGCCTAGGCTTAGCACATCTACCAGAAGGCAGTTCTTCCAGCTGTGTAGCATATTGTCAATATCAATATGTCAGCGTATGTAGATTCATGGTTTATCTACCAAAAGATCTGGAACAAATTCCTGTAGAATCCCATTTCTCACTGCACCCAAATGAGCTGTTTTCAGTTTATTAGCACTTTTTTGCTTCCTTTGTCCTCCCACTTTTCAATTCAGCTTGGCAACTTGCTAACAGTTCCAAGAGACGCAATTTTTTTTAAACAATCTTAACAGATCATTTTCAGCTTGGCAAGCTGTAATTATCAATACTAGGTTCTGGACTATTTACAATATTCATCATTAAATATGTGGTAGGTACATTTGCTGATAATAAGGTAAGTAATGTGACGAAAGTTTGTGGCACATTTGCTATTATTTGGGAAC